TCTGCGTTGTGTGAATAAGGGCCAGGAGACAGGATGAGATGAAACGTCGTTTATCTGTGCGAAACAGAATATGGACTGATCAGGAATCAGGTTCGTCACAGCGGGTTCAGCACCTTACGAGGGATAGCATTTCATGTTAGCAACAAGCTAACATAGCATTTTACTGGAGCATTAAACTCAGTGAACCTACCTCGCGCCCATCTCTCATGAACTGGCAACGAGATGTTTGCGTTCACTATATTTAACCCTGCCAACCACCAGGAGGGGGTGCTGTTTCACCCTTTACACATGAACCCAAACTGGGAAGTAATGACAAGTGGAATTCTATACAATATTAACTATGTTACACTTACAACTGCCTTTCTTTTTCTGTTTTCTCATGGACCCCTTACAGTAAGAGAACATAAATTTAGAGCTTTATTACAATAGCATGTCATATTTATCAGATTGCTGATGATTATAACACTCACAAACACTAGCGAAGAAAAGGAAGTCATACATACAATCCTTTATCCTAAATTATAAGTACCATTTTCGTGCATTTTTAAACCTTTTTCAAATACCAACTGAAAACACTGTCACTGTCATCCATTGTTGTGTAGATGTTAACCTGTGTTTAATGAGTCACTTTTCTCCCTTCTAGAAGCTTGAGTGCCCCTGTATCTGGCTCATTTTCCTTGTTTCCTCATTTCTTCCACAATTTGGCCACAATTTCTTTCCATCTGGTCAGCATGTGGCAGATCCTCATTGTTGATTTCCACTGCTTTTAGCTTTTCACAGTTAGGGTTTGAACAACTTTGAAGTCTCCATCTGACATTTTTCACTCCTCTTTTTGCCATTACATTGCAGAGTTTAGAAGTTGGTTAGAAGCTAGCAGCTAGATATTCCTCCAGTAACGATTTCTTTACACATTTCTTATGTATGAAAGATGCCATGCACACACACACTCACACCTAGGGAGAATTTAAAGAGACCAATTAACCTAACAGTCATGTTTTTGAACTTCGGAGGAAGCTGGAGTACCCGGAGAAAGCCCACCATCCACAGGGAGAACATGCAGACTACGTGCAAGAAGACCCTGAGCCAGGAATCGAACCCAGGACCTTCTTGCTGCAAGGCAACAGTGCTACCTACTGCGCCACTGTGCAGTGTTGATTAAGAGTGACGACAATATTTGGTTTAGTAGCCTCTGGTGACTTGGTACAACTTACCAGAACTCTTTACAAAACCTCTGCTCTGGTTGCCATCTTGAGCCTGATCTTCTTCATGTGCTGTCAAGTTTCAAGGCTACATGTAGGCTCATTTGCATACTGAATACTAATTTTTTTTTTTACTAGAGAGATTTGAACTCTATGCTGATCACAAATGGACAAGAGAAGATCACAGCCTGTCTATCTTCATACTCTCTTGAAAGACAAGAATGGTATGCAGGCCCAGCGGCATGGGCAGGCATTGTGGTGTATTGCCCGTCCACGGAGTCAGCCATGCCCCCCTGGACTGGAAGCTGTTTGTTGTTTTTTACCTGAGAGTGGCCAACTCTCTTATTCCTATATTGATTTGATACAGTAGGCCCATGGGGTTCTGCACTTCCAATATTAGCGCCTTCTATCACTTTTTTCAGCCATTAAAACTGTTTAATAGTTAACATGTGTGACCTGTTTTTCCGAGCCGCCTTTAAACGCAACATGAGCGCTAAGACGCTTGCGCTGTGCAGAGCTGCACAGGTGTATGTTAGAATTATGGCAGCAAACCAGAAAAATGCAAATAATTTTGGACAGTTTTTACCCTAAACTAATCGACTGAGTTGAGTAAAGCTGTTGGATGCAGGTAATGTTAGCTAAATGATGACTAGCTAATATCAATACAGCCCGTTAACCTTGTTAACTAGTAGCCTGTATGCTACTGATGTTGTTTATGTTCAAAATTGTGTAGCACTTGTTACATTGAGTAACTTTTTTGGAAAAAACAAGGTACTTATATGAGTAGTTTTACTGCACTGACTGTACCTTTTTCTTTTACTTGAGGATTATTATGTATTCATTTTGCCCCCCCTTGTGTTAGACCTTTGAAAAGGTCTAACACAAGATCTTATGAGTGGCTATGCAGTTATGCAATGTCTGTGTGTGTTTGCACATATGGGTGTGCTGTGTTTATAAAAAAAAATTAAAAAAACACTAAACAGGTTACTATAAAATTCTACATAGGGTGCGTTCACACTGCAGCCTTAAGTGACTCAATTCCGATTTTTTTTGATGTAATGCGACCTGTATCTGATCTTTTCATGGCAGTGTGAACAGCACAGGTCGGATTCTTTTTCGAATGTGACCCATATCCGATACGTATCCGATTCCAATGCGACCTAACGTTCAGGTCGCCTTCATCCGAACTGAATGTCACTGATTCTCAACAAATCTCACTATTCTGCGTCCTGATAAGCACAAGTGGGAAGAAAAACAACAACCATGATGGACTATAATGAAGATTAAGTTGTTAATATGCTGCTCCGGCCGGACAACAACTTCAAATATGTAAGCTAAGCTCCACCGTTAGCCTCCATGTTTACTTCGCAAACACTGAGGACTTCTTCTTTTTATGGCAGTTGGCAGAACACTGAGAACGCTGACGCTATGGCGCCCTCTACTGCGCATGCGGGACACTTCAGGTCATTTGCCCGTTTACACTGCAGAACACATACAGGTCGCATTTACTGGCAGTGTGAACGGCTCCAGCAAAAAAATCGGAATTGAGTCACTTCAGGCTGCAGTGTGAACGCACCCATAGTGTTGATCCGTGGGGGTCAAAGGACACACTTTGCTGCACAGTTTATGTCACACCTGAGTTGTCAGAGCAGAATTGGGCTTACATATAAATATGGGCTGCAAATACAGCTTTATAACGGTAATTACACACAAACTGTGACACAAACACACCTGGTCACTATGATAATCATGCTTTATCAAAGTGTTACATAATCATCTTGTCGTTATTTAATCTTGAAAGCCGAAACATAGCCTTGGATGATGTTACCTGGCAATACTTTCTTCATAGCCAACAAACAAGACCCCAACATGATATATTTACTTCATAATCCTGGTTTTTCAGTAACACACCCACCCAGTCTGGACATTGAGCAAATAACAGACAATCAGCAGTTACTTTACATATTAACGGGATTACAGTGACCTTATTATTTGTCTGTCTGATTCATGATGTGACGAGACATTTGTTCATAAAGAGAGTTTTGTCAACTGAACTGTTTGCATTCTTTCTCAAAGATAATAGGAAAAGGATAGCTGATTGTGTTGTTGCAGATCTGTATTCATGGAGTCTCTGAGAAGTGACATGAAAGATTAACAATGGTAGGAAAGTTTGAGTGAAACAATTGAAACCAAGAGTTGTTTCTGGAATTAGACCAAGTCTTCCAAGAGGAGGAAGTTCTGCATTTTATTCAGAAACACAGAACCATATGCAACAGTATTCATACTCCGTAAAAGTTTTTTCACGTTTTGTAATATAGACAGAGTTACAGCTCAAAGCATTGCAGCTGTAACTGGAGGATATCTCAACCAGCTTTGCAGACTGAAAATGTCGACCAATATCCTCTGCAAAGTAGCTTGAGTCTAGTTGATCTGAACATGATTTTTTATTCCTTACCACAGATTCTCAGTTGATGTAGGTCTAGTTGGACTGGCCCAGCAGGCGTGCCGCCAAGAATCTTAGGCCCCATGACAAAAATGAAATTGGGCCCCTCCTGTGCACCTGCTGTCTGTCTGTCTGTCTGTCTAGTTCAGAATGATGTGTGGAATTGTTTTTTCTTTTTTTGCCACATATGGCATTTTACATGTTAGCCCAAAAGTTTAAGTTATAAAGAGGAAGATTTGCAGAGTACAAATGCATATGATTACCTGGCATATGATCTATTAACAGATTCTCTGAGGATCTCTGCTGCTCCAGCAGGGCTAACATGGTGGGCCTCTTGTCTGCTTCTATGCCTGACCTATCAGGTTAGGTAGAAAACAATATCCTGCACCGGGGCCACACTCTTTCTATTTTCAGAGCTCTTTGAGATGTTCACAGTTTGAGTAAATATCTCACAGATGGAAAATGCGCACACTACATTCTATGTGTCTGTTGTTGTAGTTTGTGGTTTTAATGAGACAGAATAAGAAAATGGTTGAGTATACCACTCAACCATTTTCTTTGCTAGAGATACTTTGCTAGAGAACTGTACCTGACCAGGGCGGTTTCTGTTTTTTCAGGGTGCATTCTGGGGCCTCATGGTGGGTTTGGTGGTAGGCGTGTGCAGGATGGCGCTGGAATTCGCCTTTCCTCCTCCCAGATGTGGCGTTGTGGACTCAGCTCCCCTGGTGTTACGTGGCGTTCATTATCTTCACTTTGCCATTCTGCTCTGTGGACTCACTGCTATCGTCGTAGCTGTGGTGTCATTTGTCACACCGCCACCCAGCCACGAACAGGTTAGCACTCTTGTAAGCATAAAACATCAGGTCCTCCAGGGAATGGTTGTGTTGTTTTAAGTTTCATTGTAACAACATGACCTAATTTGTTATGTCTTTTATTGCTCAAGCAGCCTGTGTATGAACCCAAACGGCAAACGTCAGCTTACTGAACCAACACCCTGTCTTAGCAGGTTTTAGCAGATTTACCCTGATTTGTGACAGTCATTCCTGTCTTATACAACCATTATTACAACCATTATGCTTGTGTGTAAACTACTGCAGAGTCTCAGGTATTCAAACTGTGACACCACAGTATTTGCAAAAACAGTAAAGATATTTGCATCTATAATCTCTTTACACATACAAACCGTACTACTGTCCACACCTTAACCACAGTCATCTGTATCCTCCCTTTTCCTTTAGTTATTCACTGAGTGGGTTAGTGCAACAGTTTTATGATAAAGAATGATTGCCTAAGAAAAAAGTGCAACAATATAACAGAAAAACAAAAGCTCAGCACCCACAGTGGTTTCCATTAAACACAAATTAAAACACAAATTGTCCACAGTTTATGGGGGAACAAGCTTTAATTTTTAGTTTTCTCCTCATACATTTTAAGTCTGTATATGGCATGTACTCATGTCTTACTTTAACTATGCAAGTAATTTAAAATTTATTCTAAACATGCCCTGTTCAAATAGGAAGCAGCTTACAACAGCACAACTGTGCAAGATGCATAAAAGTTTTATGCATTGGACACAAAAATACCCACTGACGCAATATGTAAATAGTCAAATTGTCATGATTTAGGTTGGAAAATAAAGAACCAAATGCAGAGCAAAGATGAGGTTTAAAATAAAGAGTCCATGGAAAACGAAAAGGGAGCAGGTCATGGAACACGGAGCAATCAAATGAATTATGAGGACCAGGAAGCTTAAATACTGAGCCAGGAGGAACCAGATCAACTAATCAGATGAAATGTAGTACAACTGTGGCAGGGAGAAAGGAGGGAAACTGATGGAGGAGAGTAATTAATACTGAGGTGTGTATCAGTCAAACTGCAAACCATGAGGCCCGTCTCTGAGATGTTCACTGGCTTTGCACTTCACTCCTCAATTTATAATTTATAATTTATAATTAGGTTTTTGGCATGTTTACATTTTGATCTCACAACAAAGGTTCATGTGGATGTGTACACATTTTCATAATAATTTCAGAAATCCTACAACATCAGAAAGCCAAAATATGAAACAAGAATGCAGGTGGAGGGAAACAAAAACAAAAACAGCCAAGAGAATCAAGTCCTCACATACTGACAGACACCTTAATCCTAGATACACCCACTGCAAGTCTGCATGTTTCAATCAAAGAAAATAGTTGAATTTGTTCAAATGTTCAATAAACAATTAAATAACAGGCCAGAAGTGGAATTATACAGATGATGGTCAAGGGTTCTTACTTATTCTCTTTTATGACTTTTCATGGAAACTTTCCACCATGAAAACACAAAGTTCATAAATACATTGAGGTTATCAATTAGGGTATCTGCCAGTTTCTGCCAGGTTTAGTTTTTTAACATTAGCCAAGAAAATTATTTCTAGTTTACATGAGCTTCCCAGACATGGTTCATAAATCCAAACTTTCAGTTGTTTGTTTTTTATACAGCCAATATGAGATCAAACCCAAATTGTAAATACCTATTTCTGTAAACTACTGAAGTCTTTCAGCAGTTTAAAGCTGCTGAAAGACCTGTCGCCTTTGGACAGGTCACATTAATTTAAACCTTTTTCTTCTCTGTATTTCACCTTTCCCAGGTGTGCAACCTGACCTGGTGGACAATGATTGAGGAGCCTGAAAGAGAAATTCCTCTCCAGAAAGTTTCCTCTGTCAGCCACCGTAACTCGCAGGGTAAGAGTGTGAGAATATTTCAGCTATCATTTTCAGCGTCATATATGTAACCATGCGCATGTGATGTGTGTGATGCAGGATCTGAACAGGCTCGCCGGGCGATGTGCGGACAGGGAGCAGGATTGTGCCTCTCAGCGATGCGGCGCTCAGAGCAGACTCCCAGAGTTCCCACGATTCGGGAGAGTGTGTTCTGGTCCAGATTCTGTTGTGCCAATGCTCTCCTCTTAGTCTGCATTAATATTTTCTTATATGCATACTTTGCCTGAATGGGTTGCCAGGTTTGGTAGCGTTCCTCACCATGCCTCCTGCTGAACTCTGTTCAGCCTGTAAACTGCAAACTGAAATTTGCAGTTTACAAACTGGAAGAAGTTATTCACAAGACATTTTTTTATTTTGTCTTGTTTACCTGTTAGATGCCTGACAGATATAGCTCTGTGCAAAAGTTTTAAATCAACTTAATTTCTTTACCCTTTGATCAAAATTAGCCTGATTGTTTCATAAACCCTAAGAGGTCTTCATCACATGGATGTATGAAGGTTTTTCTTCATCAGCTCATTTACAGTGTATCTCTAGTTTAAACTGGTCTGATTTAAATTAATATAAAGAAAAGAATGGCAACATTTAGAATTTTTAAGATCAGTATAAAAGTTCACAAATTGAGCTTCAAAGAATCTGTGTTTAGAGGTGTTTTGTGAAATATTATTTGTCGAAAAGAATTAATATTTCTTTGTTTTTCATTGGCATATGTTAAATAAACTGAAAGATAGTTGCACAAAAAGACAAACATGGACACAATCAATTCATGACTGGAAATATAGCAAGAAGAAAAATGTAAGATTTACTGCTGTATTTGGACCCAGTATATGCTGATAGCAGCAGGGTTTGTGACCAAAGACAAAATAATAAAACAGATTAAAAAATAAATGTCTTTCTAAAACTCTTTATTTTAACAGGTTACATTGACTCACTGTAAAAATTTAACTTTTATTAAATTAAGAGGTTAAATCTCATTCTTGTGAATCATAATCCCCAGAGATCAATGTGAGATCTTCAAATTGCTTAATGAAGAACAGACAAATATCCAAATATATTGACAGATTACTAAAGTGAATCAAAGAACCACGCCTGACACAGTTTCTAAGATTTAAGAACATGGATTCAGGTCTGGCATGAACAAATGGAAATATGGAAAAGCATGAAAACATATGTTGGAGTGGACGGCATCATCTCTTTGAAATACGAAAGAAATTTTAAATCTTTGATGGCGTCTACCAGAAATCTAAAAATGGGTCATCATTGGGTAAATAAGCATAGAAATGGCTCATCAGACACTAAATCAGTGTTTTCCCATGGCCTCTCAGTGGTTTAACCTAAACACATACACGGCACACACATACCCTTGTTTTTCATTCATACTTATGTAACAAGTGTGAATGGTTGTACTTGGGTTACCTTTACATGTGCTTCAAGAACATTGTCGAAAGTTATTTACCTTGTAAATGGTAAATGAAGCCAGTTAGCTGTAGAGCTAATAAGCACAAACATTCAACAGCGTACAGTTCTGTACATCAAACATACACTTCTCAAAAGTTAAATGCATAGCAGAATAAGTAGATAAGCATAATCAAAGCAGATGACGAGGAACAGGTGATTCTACGTTGTATTTACCTCTGAAGCTGTAACCTGGATCTGGAAATGGCATCAAACTCACTTAAATCTGATTTCATTTGCAGCTTGGGAAATCTGTAAGGCTTATTAATTGTTGTGCTCAATGACCAGGCTAATAACTCTTAGCAATACAAGTTATGATCAAGGTAAAGTTAAACCCAATATTATATTTTCATTCAACAAAGAAATTTCTTTCTGACAGGAAATGAGATAGATATCTCTCAAATGATAATAAAATTATTATTACATGTCAAATAATATTTATATCCTTTTCAATAATCAGTGGGAAAATCTTTGTTGGTGCAGTGCAGCTACCAACCTCTTCTTGTAAATGCTGATATGTTTCCACTGGTGTCTTGATGCTTTAGCTTTGAGAATGATCTCCAAGTCTGAGTTTAGAAGGCTTTCATGCCATGACCCTAATCTTTTTCTCCCTCCACAGATTCTCAGATTCTTGTTGAGAGTCTGGGGGGGGGGGCTGCTTCAAAACGTTAGTATTACTAGTCAAAATAAATAGTGTGGTAAAACAAAAAAAGTACAACAAATGGGAGAAGTCAACATTCTGTTCTAGTTCTGATCCAAAATGCTGAGTGTTGCTTAGAGAACTTTGTATTTACTGAAGTGGTTATTGTTATTAAAAGCTTAAAAAATGGAAGACTTTGGACAAAGAGGAATTGCAAAAGATCTTCCACATAGTCCAACTTTGGCTAATGTTTGGCTAATGCTATTGACATGAAGGGGACATGAAGAGGAGTGTGTTAACACCTTCATGTCAGTGTTAACAGGAAGTTTACCTTTTGAAGTGTGGTATTGGTAATGATGGTAAAAAAAAAAGTAATTATTTCCAAACATTTTATTCAATTTTTTTATACATGTATACAGTTATGCTGCTGCAATCAAGGTTAATTTATTATTTATAAGCTTTTTTTATAAGCTTTAATACATTTTTACAAGAGTGGTTTGGATGTATTCATCTCTAAATAACCACACTTTTTGCATTCTTTTGCAAGGACCAAATCTATCCAGTTCCAAATATAGAGTGAAATAAATCCTGCTTTTCTTGCTCTGAACTGACTAAATGTTTGTTATTCAAAACATACCTGGCAAATACTTCTTTTAATAGGACCAATCTGCAAAACCCTTCTCAAGTTTACACATTTCTTTCCAACAAAAACTGGCTACTTCATTTGTTTAATGAAACCATTACATTATCAGGGAGGTAAAGAACACATCACAATATAAGTTTTTATTAACAATATAATGTTTCTTGCTCCTTATGTCCTTTTGACTTGACAATTTTAACCCATGTGTCAAAAAGTTTTGACACCCCTGTTCTACCAACTACTCTTGAGAGCTGAACTACGTAACTTTAATAAGAAATATGTTTTTACATATTTGTTAAAACTGTCACCATGTGGTGCCAGCATAATATGAGATAGATGATCTGTGAAAAGATCGATCTCCTCCCTGTGCTCTACTTCTATCTGACCAAAAACAACTAACCAACCAAAAACAAAAACCACCAATCAGAACGAGGGTCTTAGCACTATCAATCAACCTCGTGTACGTACTGCTCAATGTTATAATGGCAGAGAAGCACCTTATTTTTCCAGGAAAACCATTTACATCAAGATGAGCAGTGCGTACAAAAGCATGATTGACTGCGCCAAAACCCTCCTCCTGGTTCTGATTGGTTGTTTATAGTTAGAACTGGGAGAAGGCAGAGGAGCTACATTTTTTTCACAGATTATCTGTGTCATACCATGGAAACAGTGTTTTAAATATGTAATAAATATGTGAAAAGATATATATATATATATATATATATATATAAATGTAAAGGTTTTCATCCTGCACTTTCAAAGAAATGGAGTCAAGTTAATGTAGGTGTAACAGTTGACAGTGGGGTATATCCTGACCAGTGGTGCTTTTTGATCTGGGCCATAGGGCAGTGGCCCAGGGCAGCAGTAGAAAGAGAAACCACAAGCACCAGATTAAAAAACAAATCTGTCCAAGCACTTTGGACAAAGATTCTATTTGCATTTATGTGTTTGCTGCTGTGCAAAGGAAGACTATCTTACATACCTTGTGTGGTACTGTAATGCGTTTGATCTTGTCCCAGAAATGCATTTTCACTGGTTGAGGGATAGCAGGAAGGGGGCTGCCCAATTTATTATTCATGCAAGAACCACCACCGATCCTGACTGAGAAGCATCAGAAGCATAAACATCATAGACACCACATATCTGATATGGAGTTAATGGAGCAGTGGTTGGACAAACTCTGGAGGGAAGATGCCCACTCTGCCGCGGCAGCGTCCCCTCCAGCTGAGGGAGCTGGAACAATCCAGCAGGTCAATGATTTCATCGCGCTGGAAGTGGAGGTGGGTGGTCTGGGAGGGGGTGTAGTCACAGAGAGCACGGGCCACCTGAGGCTTCTGCTGAAAGACAAACCATGGTGTCAGACACAGGTGTGCAATTATCAGCTGGTGATGAGAAGAAGTGACTTCTTGTTATGTGTCATACCTCTAAAACTGGTTTGAGTGAATGTGCAGAGGTCTGCCAGTCTCTGGGAGACGGGTTAGGGTGGCAGTGGGCTGAGTGAATGGACTCCAGCGAGTTGCTGTTATATGGGTTGGGGTAGGGGTTGCGTCCAAGATGTGAGTTCAAGTGAAGGGAGGAGGGGTAATCCCTGAGGTGGACCACTTTCTCCATGGCAATGCTGTGTGCTCTGTAGAACTCCACTAGGCGGTTGAGGGAGCAGAATGCCTTATCCCAGATGTAATACTGACCACCGTCCTCCAGGACCCTGAAGTGCTCCACCCTGTCACCATAGCTGCCAAATGAGAGAGGAGCATAAGAGTCAGGTGAAGAAAGGAAGGTATCTGTGCTTTATTCTGCTCCATCATCTTCTTCGCCTTCATTCCTGGTGTCTGTTTCTTTGTTTGCAGGAATTCACTCGAGCCATTCTGTGCATACCTGGTGTGGGGGAAAAAAAGAACACAAACCTTTTATGACAGATCATCACCAGGATTGTTTTGTTAAGTGAAGTGCCTTGAGAAACATTTGCTGTGAAGTGGAACTTTATAAATGAACTGAATTGAATCTATAATCCACAGGGTGATGTGAAAAATTCAAAGACATTAACCCAGTAGCTGGTAAACAATTTCAGCTTCTAAAGAGGCAAAGTAATTCAGTCGCTACAGTGGTTGAGTGGCGACTGAATGACTGTTGTCAAATACTTTTTGTTTTGTATGCACAATAACCTTAAAACTAAGCAGTAACTTAAATCAGGTTTAGCCTTTTGGCTATACATTTTCTAAATGCTGTGGTCACACCTCCACCAAGCAGGTAGGGCAACCGCAGTCACAATGTCACTGGAGTCGCAGCAATGGAGGCACAGAGGCCGAGTGCTGAAAACTTCATACAAACAAACAGAAACTTAAATCAGGAAATAAAATATATTTGAAGTCATATTTGATATGTTGTTATGCTTTTGGGAATCTGTTTAACCCACATGCAGAAACACCATCAGGAGATCAGAACAGTTCTTTAGCTTTATTTACAACTAGTGGCAACAGCGTGGTAATGCAGGTGTCCAAGACAGAAACAAAACCCACACTGGGAGTCTGGCTCGGAACACTGGGGACAAAAGAGAGACGCGAGTCCAGCGGGGAGCTGAGGCAGGATGGTGCTAGTGGCACTTACACGTGCAGGCAGCCAGGTAGCGTGACCCGCCAGGGAGGGGCGCAAATTGGGTCAAGAGGAGGGGTGTCAGTTCGTCCCGATGGAGATGGAAGAGGGAAAGGGGCGGACCAGGCTCGGGTAGAGAGGCGGTGGAGCAGAGACCAGCCGGGGCTGCCGCGGGGACAAGACCGCTGTGGGGGGAGGGGGTCTCGCCCCCGAGTAGCAACGTACCTAGGATGGCAAAAAATAAACGTAGGTGAGCTCTTGACTCAAAAGACATCAGACGAGGAGCTGAGACTCTGACAGGCTGGAGTTACCACATAGCCAATGGCGTCGGAGGACCGGCAGCCAGCTCTTCTTATACTCCACCTAATGACGGAAGATGAATCGCAGGTGTGCGGGAGAACCTCAGAGAGGTTCGGCTCCCATCCTGCTCCCTGAAGACATCTAGTGAGGGAAGAAAGGGACTTACGGGTGGAGACAGAGTTTCCCAAAATATATAGCATTTTGATAACTGAAGGTAACAGTTACCTGATTGTGCTATGAAACGGTACAGTGTGTATGGAAAACACATAACACTGCCCCTTTAAAAAAAATAGCTCCTATTCAGTCTGATTGCATAGGACTTTGACTGGTCCTATCAAAGACAAGGCCCTCATCTAATGTAGTGGTCTCCATCTCCAGATCTTAAGAGCTACTGTCCAGCAACTTTAAATCCATTGGTTCAATACACCTGGAATAAATGAATGGCTCATAGATGATGATGTCATGACTTTGGAAACTTCTGATAGGTTAACAGATACATTTGAGTTAACTGGAGGAACACCTAAGGATATATTTTAAAGGATCCACGATTAGTTATAAAAATATACCTTATTTGGGAAATATTTATCTTAGATGTAAAAACAACACAGTAATAATACTGTAGTGCAGTGGTCTCCCCCACGCCCCCCACCCCAGTGGTTTCCAAACATTTTCTGCCCCCCCCCATGGCTTACAAATAGCTGTCTAGTTGAACGACGTGTGTAAGGAGGGGAGGGGGAGTGTAATCGACTTTTTTGGGGGCAAAATTATTGTACGTAGCTGGACATGGTCCAGTGTTTTTCAACCT